GTAGAACTCTCAGTGCTATCCATATGCTTCTTAGATACCCTTTAGGTACCCCACGCTGTGATCTATCACCGTTCTATCCACTTTTCTTCTACTTTATATTTCCAGCACAAAGTATGTATCGATTCCGCATAACATCCTGATATCCTGAGAACAAATCTTTATAGTGTTTACTAAGGACTCCATCTGGTAATTATTGTTAGTATATAACTTGACATCATTCATGAATAATAGGTTGTTTATAGGCGGTTTCTGATCCCTTGCAAGCTTGTAACCAGATTTTGTCTTACAGAGAAGCAGGCACAATGGCAGAATGATGACCTCAAATAACAATAGCGAATGACCCTGAGGAAGGCCATGCCTTTTATGATACATGGATTTCTCAGCATATCATAGGGCTTTAGACAATCTATCCAGTCCATGGACAATTTTGTCAGGTGTCTCCTGCAAATCTTAAGAATCAATTTATCAATGAAATCTCATCTACTCAACAGAAAAAAACAGCTCAATCTTATCTTGAAATTTCATATCAGAAATTCCAAATCAAATTTAAGCAAGCAATCCGTCTGTAATTGTCAGTTTTTTAATCCATTTCACCACAAGCAAGTCATTAAAGCCACTAAAACACAAGGAGTTACTTAGTGTTGAATCAGCAGAAAGAGAGAAGAGTAATCAGAATGATAGTACATAGCGATTGACATTTCATTTAATTTTTTGGAGATTAAAGTTACCTGAAAATTGCCGAATGAAGTTCCACTAGCAAGAAATGTGAGAAAAGAAACTGTTAGCAAAGAATCTAGCTAGCTCAAATGTAAACGATAAAATGTAAACGATAAAATGTAAACGATAAAATTCATAACGCCTGGGTACCATAGAAAACAGATCATTGGAATAATTACCATGAAAGTATTTATAAAAATGGCATAAAGAGGCAACCTTAAGGCCCTGGGAAAGTGATTGAAGCTGAGCCTCCAGATAAGGACGGATAATATTGCTAAATCTTCTTTGGATTTTATCAAGGAGAGCCAGGTAAATAACAAGGGTACCGGGCCATATGCACCATCAGTATTGTAAGCATGTACGAATGCTAGTTTTATAGATATATATGTTAGATTCTGGAAAGAAAAAATTGTCTTACAAGACACAGTAAACCAAATACAATATAGTCTTTCCACTTCATGTCAGCTGAGAATTCTATCTCGAAAGAAGCAAGAAGTCACTTTCGTGGAGGTTAGCATCAGCCATGCTTATGAAAGGCAGAGAGGCGTCACTCAGAGGATTAATGGACAGAAGTTTAGCTTTGGAGGCGTTAAAATTAATAAGCCATTGTTTGCCTCAGTTAACAATGGACTTGAGGTCTTTTTGAATATCAGATACCATTAAATCTACAGCGTTTACTTGTTTCGTAGAAAGGTATAGTTGTGTATATTTGTGTCTATAAGTATTTACTTAGTTGCGAGACAGGAATAATATTAATCGTTTTTATTTGCATTTGTAAGCATTTACTCGGTTCGTAAATAAATAAAGTTTGTCAGTTTATATTTGACGCTGTAAGAAATTGCTTGTTTCAGGGAAAAATAAGTATAGGTCGTTTCTATTTTATTATATAAAAATTTACTTTGTTCGTGGATAGATAAATATTGGTGGTTTATTTCTGAGTCTGTAAACATTTACTTGACATGGCGACAGTTAAATGCTAGCTATTTGTATTTAAATCTATATACATTTAGTTGGAAGGTGGCAGTTTTAAGGATTGGTCTTACCTCCTCTTCTAGGGATTCCGCTGACATATATTAGAAACACAACAAATCGGTAGTGCAATACAAAATGTAACCTGTAGCTCATCAAGTAAATAACAATCTCAATACAATGTTAATGGGCTGTAACATAAGCTTGTTAACCACAACTCCAAAATGAAGCGCTTATCTGCATTTATTTCGCTTATCTGAGCATAAGACAATGTCAAGATACAAGTGCATAAAATGTGTATTGAATTCACAAGGGAAGATTGATCTGCGAAAAGTTCGCTGAAGAATCGTCTGGAATTGTTAAGAGACTTTCTGGCGCGTAATCACTAACCAGTGACATTAGAATGATATTATTTAAAAAAAAGAAAAAAAACAAAAAAAAAAAAAAACATGAACAGTAATAATGAGGTATAAATTGCTTTGTGAGAAGGATACTACGTGGAGATTGGATATTTTATAAGATTTTACAAAAATATTTAATTAAAGCCACTATGGAAAATTTTCATAAACACACTGATTTTTATTTTATCAACTTCAATTCAAACGAACAGAAAGTAATAAAAAGTAGGAATTCTTAAAAGACGAAAGAATTTAATGAGAAAGAAAGGAAGAAAGAAACAAAGAAGAAAAACAAAGAATGAAAAAAGAAAGATCGAAAATGGAAGAAAGAAAGAAGAAAAAAGAAAGAAAGAAAAAGAAAGAAAGAAAAATGAATAAAGAAAGACCAAAGAAACTGAAGAGAAAGAAAGAAAGAAAGAAAGAAAGAAAGAAATAATTATTAGAATTGAAATAATAATAAAGAAAAATTTTAAAAGAGCAAAGAAAATGGAGGAGACACAAAGAACTGTTAAAAGTCCAAAGAATTTGAGGAGAAAAAATAGAGGAAGGAAGAAAAAAAAAGCGATGTTAAAATACCAAAAAATATGAAGAAAGAACAATTAAAAGAAAGAAAGAAATTCAGAGCAAGAACAAGGAATCAGGAAAAAGGTCATGCTTGCAGACTATAACAAATTGACAATTTATTTTGTTCTTATTTTTAATAATATTTTGTCAGTTTTTAAATATCTTTATACTCTTTTCAGTAGATTTGTTCTCTGTTCATATAAATATGATGGGCAGAGTTAAGTAACAGCAAGTTTTAATAATCATTCATTTCGAAATTTGCGACAGACAATGAATAATTTATGGCTATCAAACTGATCACATTCTTATGTATGATCACATGAAAGAAAAAATAAGACAAACCTAGAGTGGGTAGCTTTTATATACTTATCGGCAATGGTCGAGCGGAGTATTTCCATGAATTGTGTCTGCAGTATATTCGAGCGAATACTGTAATCAATGTTCAAATTTAGACCGAAGATTTTATTTTGCCCTAATTACCGTGTGAAAGGGATTAATCCATATTTAGAAAATCATATCTTCGATAAGTGTTAAATAGCAAAGTAGACTAGATTCTCAGGCATTGGATCACAGCCAGTCGAGGAGACTAGCAACTGAATTCAAAAAGGCTCGAAACGACAGAACTACCATCATCTAACGGGATTTGGTTGTGGTCATGTACTCCACGACACGTCTACTAGTTTAAATGTACGTTTTAGCCTTTTGCGATCATTGAGAAATAAAGGAACTCATATTTTCCTCGGAAAATATTATTACAGACTGGTTTCTTTTATTTTGAGTATTAACTAGTCTAATAAAAAGACGATCCTTATTGCAAAACTGGAGAAAGAAACTGGAAATCAATCCAATTTCCCAAAAATTCAAGTTATACATAATAAAACAGACATTGTAGAGAGTTTATATTCTGGGAAAATAAGGTCGCGTAGAGAAGCATCCTTTGTCACTAACCCTTAGCCGAATCAGGTTTCACTATATTTCTCTAAAAACTGCGATAAATTCGACTATTTCAAACCACTTGCTTTATACTAATTGTTTATAATACTTGAGTAGTATAAGTTATTTTTTTAAATGAAAGACAACTTTTCAAACCCCTCGCAAAGAAAGCCTTCTTAGATCTATTTGCGGACAAATGTCCACTGAGTGTCTTGCAGCTTATTGCAGTTACCACCATGTCTATGATTATCAGTGCGTAATCCTGAATTGTGACCTTATGTCAGATCAATAACATCTACAATCCTATAGATCAATCCAGATCTCGGAAAAGAAGGCTTTATTCTCTCCTCTTTCTAGTAGGTCATTTTCCTCTTCCAAGCATGTTTCCCCAAACAAAAAAAAAAAAAAAGAAATAAATAAAAAAAATCAGTCTTAGGCAAGTGTATAAGGTTTCCAATCACCTCATTTTATCCTCTTTACAAGTCATTGTCCCGTGAAAAATGCTGACATTTGAATACAAATAGCATGAAAGTAAGGCAACAGCTCTGTAAATCAATGCCTGGTAGGGTTTATTGCTAAGCGATGACGTAAGAGAGTCTTTTATACGAGAGGAATGTAACAAATATGTTAATTTGCTGGTTAGACCCAAGCAAAATGCATGAAAAAAATACAGAGCGCTGGATTTTGTTAATGATCGCGTTTGGTTTCAGTGAAACCCTGATCGTTTGTCAGGGTAACCATTATTATTGACTGATTGTGCAAATAAGAACGGTATTTTAGCTGAATATTAATTCTTCAAATAATGTAAGGTTAATAAGATAGGGTGTCCCTCACTAGTGAGCCACGGCTGAATGATAAATATGCAATCCAATGCAGTCTGATTGGCTGTCACTCTAGCTTACGTCATCAATGGTTTTATGCAGCAAGGCGAGGACTCACACGAACGTTACAGGTTTGATTTCGTTTCTCTTTTCTATTTGGAAAATATTCTTCTTTGTTCGGCATTTTTTCTGAAGAATATTTTTTTTCTTTTTTATCGGTGCTTGATGGCCTATTATATTTTTCTTTTGGTTTTCATTAATTCTATTTTATTTTATTTTTTCCATCGATTCTTTCTTTGTGTTTCTTTTGTTTTGTTAGTTTCATAAACCCCTTGTGTTTTTTTTCCAAAATTTTATCACAAAGCCGATTCACTTTTTTCCATTGTTTATTTCACAGACTCATCTCTTTCTTTTTTTCTGTTGCGTTGATACTTTAAAAACTATTATATATTTTATTTGAATTTTATCTTACTCGTCCGTTTTCCTTCTTTAGTTCCCATTTGTCCTTTCTTTTGATAGAATTCGTAATTAAAATTTAATAGAATTTGTTCTTTCTATTTTACTTTTTATTTCTGATTCATATACTTATTGTTTCCGAATGTTGTTTCTTACTTTCTTTTCGTTTTCTTTATTTCTTTTCGTTTAATAGACCTGTTCTCATTTTTTAGTTTTCACAGTGATTTAGTTCTTTTTCTTTTATTTCATATACCAAATTCGTTCTTCATTCTTTCCTCTTGTAGCTTGTCACAGAAAATATATTTACATATATCTATATATTTATTCATTCATTGCCTTTTTCTCTTTCCTTCTTTCTTGGCACCTTCCTTTCCTCATGAGCTACTTTTATTTATCGCTTCTATTTTTTTTCTTTATCCAGTTTTATTTTCATCTTTCTTTTTGCTGTTATTTCTTTCGTGTAGTATTTTGTGTCAATGTAAAGTCACTCTTTGGAATTTACCTCTTTTTTTCTAATCGCTCTTTATCTAAACTGTAACTGCAGTTTTCCTCTGCAATCACCAACTCATCTTTTATTTAAGTTTTAATATTACTTCAGCAAAACATATCAAACACATATTCCTCTTCTATCCTGCCTTGACATTTGAAATATTTTACATTATTCCGTACCCCAGTTGCTGATTATTCATTCCTCCTTATCGATTCATTTTCTTTTCCCAGTTTTCCACTTCAAATTTTAATCATTATTATCAACCTTTACGTTTTTCCTACTTTCTCCGTTCATTTCTCCTATTTGATTGCTATGTCCTTAAAAATACGCCCTCCTTACAGTTTTAATAATTCATTTATTTCTGCTCATTTTAATACATTTTTTTATATATTTCGCTTATTCCTTCTTTACTTTGAGGTTTCTTTTCTGTCCCTAATATCCTGTCATCCATTCGGCCTTAGAATAAAATAAATCTAATTTGAAATATCAGTGACTTCTGTGGAGCTTTCAAAATTGATGTGAAACGCTTCAGATGTAATTAATTTACTCTTTCTTTAGATAATCTAATCGTGAGATCATCTCATCTTGTCCACTATGATTACAGATGCGATGTGAAATAAGATTTTAAATACATTGGGATTTTCATTTTCACCCTCAACAGAAATTTGTTATATTAAGCTTCAATATATTAAGGAATATGTCGTTGAGTAAATTTGTTTTACAACCAGTTACTATACGAAACCGATTTTGAAATGGGTCTTCTAAAAATAATTTCGATTTCGATAAATAATCATATTGGACTCTAAGGATGGGAAAAGCATAAATAAAATAGTATGGTAGTATCTTCCTAAAGATAATATCGTAGCTTGTGAACCGCATTGAATCCAGAAAAAGAGTACAAAATAGAAGAGACATGGTAACAAAATAGAAGAGACATGTTAAAATAGACAAGACATGCTAACAACTAATACGGATTTTAATGGCGGCACAAGTACGTATGTGGGGACAAAAATGTGAACTAACAGACATAACCACGGGAATATAAAAATAAGAAATTGAAGTTCACTTACGGGGCGGGGCGGATAGCTAATGAAACTTTCTAGGTTCAAACCACTTGTTAAAAGCTGACGTTTTGACCAATCATTGATTAAAAAATAAAAATAAAAATGATCTGGTATCCGTGGAGGAAGAAAGGAAGCATTAATTTCTTGATTTCATTCTTTTAATAAAATAGTCATCCGGTTACTTCCTCTTGAAACAGTGGATTCCCTACGATACCGAAGTTAAGCAAAGTTGAGCCGGGTCAATATCTCGATGGATGACAGTTTTAGAATACCAGATTCTATAAGCTTGGATGAGTGGCTGGTACAATTGATAATGTCTCGAAATTTTTAATTGGAGAACCGAGTTCTAATTCTCATGGGGTTCTTTATATTCACTTACGTGTAAATATGCGTGGGAACTGTTAGAATTCGTTTCTTCTCTTATCCCTCTACGGGTAAGACTTGTATCACTAAACCTTACCACTTCTCTCCTTGTAGCACTAAGCCTTACCACTTCTCTCGTTTTATCACTAAACCTTACCACTTCTCTCCTTTTATCACTAAACCTTACTACTTCTCTCCTTGTATCAATAAACCTTACCAATTCTCTCCTTGTATCACTAAACCTTACTACTTCACTCCTTTTATCACTAAACATTACCACTTCTCTCCTTGTATCACTATACCATACCACTTCTCTCCTTGTAACACTAAATCTTGCCAATTCTCTCCTTGTAGCACTAAACCATACCACTTCTCTCATTGTCTTACTAAACATTACCACTTCTCTCCTTGTATCACTAAACCTTACCACTTCTCTCCTTGTATCACTAAACCTTACCACTTCTCTCCTTGTACCACTAAACCTTACTACTTCTCTCCTTGTATCAATAAACCTTACCACTTCTCTCCTTCTATCACTTGTGGCACCATGCATAATTAGAAAACTGAAAAGAGATATTCATAAATATATGATTTATTTTTTTCGGTTTGTTAACCATTTGATAGTTATTTAGAGATGAAAAATATTTCGGAGTTGAGAATAATTCTCTAATTGCGTTCGGGCGATCTGGGAGAAAGAAAGAAAGGAAAATGAAGAGAAAAAGAAAGAAAAAAATTTAATACGCAAACCGGTCATAAGCACACACGCTCAGCTGACACATAACAGGTGTCAAAAGATATCTAGGTCAAAGTACCTGACCGAAATCCACGAAAAATGGAAGTTTGTTGAAGAAATAAAATTTTAGGGACAATGAGAAAAAAATAATGATAAGTAACAAATGAAAAGGATGTCATTGAGATGATAGGTAACAGATGGGGAAGTTTATCTAAGGATATACAGACAATCCATTAATACGAGAACCAGAATTAAAAATACAGGCACACAGGATAATGATTAGAAAAAAAATTTTTTTTGAGATAATTAAGATTTTGTTGTCAAGCTCCGAGCGAAGGGAAAAAGTGAAATATTTTTATTAGTTCACGTTAACGCCACCCAAGGTGATGTCGTTTTTTTTGAGATAATACAGATTTTTATTATCGGCCGGAGGAGAATGAAATATTTTGTTGCGTCCAGAGAGACGCCGACAGGTCTAGGAAAATCCCTTTCTTAGATCGTATCCAATTAGCGGTAGGCTGTTTTGACAGATACCGCGTGTGAAAGAAACCGATAGCGTCATTCGATCTGGTACGAAAAGGGCAATTTAAATTTTCTTTTTTTTAGCAAGGGGTTTCTTCCCCCAGAACAAAGCCATGGATTGTCCACGCCCGATTAGAGACGTCACGAAGGATGGAGGAAAGATACCGACCAGAGTCTCATTGGCCGAGGGCGGTCACGTGATGTGCGAGGGAGGAGGAAAGATGCCCGACCAGGACCCCATTGGTCGAGAGCGGTCACCTGACATACGAGGGACCAGGGGAAGCGGGTATACGCCTCCCCCCAGAGGCACAGTAAGGAAGTAGGAGTGAAAGTAAGTTACCGATAATGGAAAATCCCTAATCAGAAATAATACGTCTTTAGAATTATCAAGAAAACCCTGGCGCCGACAGACCCACCCCAGTTTTTGACTGCCTCAATAAAAGCAGGACCCCAATCGACAGAAATCAGTTGCAGTTGCGCCGCGGATGGAGTTGGAGCTGCGCCTCGGATGAAGAGGGAGTTTGAGTGCGGGCTGCGGGCCCGGTTCATTCGCCCCCTTTGCGAGCAAGAAAGGCCGGTCCGTTTGGCCTAAGTGGAGACGTTGCAGTCGCGCACTGACAGCGGAGATGAGTGAACAATAATTCAGACTCTGAAGAGAGAAGTTAAGTTGGGGTTGCGCCTCGGACGAAGTTGGAGTTGGAGTTGCAGCGCGGACGGCGGGCCCTGTTCATTAGTCCCCTTTGCGGCAAGAGAAGCCGAAGTGAAGCAGCCGTTTGGCCTAAGAGGAGAAGTTGGAACCAAACCAAGCCTAAGAAGAGAAATTCGTCTAACCCAAGTCGAAGTGAAGAAATTCGCCCAACTCAAGCCGAAGTGAATAAGCTCGTCCAACCGAAGCCGAAGAGAAGAAGTTAGTTCGCACACTGACGGCAGAGATGAGTGAACAATAGTTCAGACTCTGAGGAGAGAGTTAGTTACAGCCACGGACGACGAGAGAAATCAGCCGTGAACGACAGGTAGAGATCAGCGCCCAGTGTCGAAACCAAACCACAACCCGAAATGCAAATTTCTAGAGAGCAGACAACTCGAAGCCTTAAAGTTGTATGGTAGAAGCTTGGTGCCACAGTCCACAAAACGGGTCGGGAGGTAGGAATAATCTTGTGTAACGAACGTTTAGATATAAAAAGTTGTTACCTTTTTCTTCAATAATTTTTGACCTTGTGAGTTTTTCTTTTTCTTGTGTGTTATCACCCCCGTTGGACTCAGCTTGCATACGGCCCCAATCCCTGTTTGATCCCGTCTGTCTAAGATCTAATCACAACGTGGGTAGGCAGACCGGAGATCAGTGCAGTTACCCTAGTAACCAGGCGTTGGAAGCGAGTTGGGAACGACGAGGCTGGTATTCATCTAAACAAAGGGTTAGAACGTCACACTTGGAGCAGCGAGGAGCGAACAGCTGACGCCGCGGCAAAGACGTCACAACTGGTATCGTGACCATAGGATCAGAACCCTGGACCACGTCACGTCACAGTTGGCGCCGCGAACGAGATCGAACGACAGAGTCGACGCTGCGACCAGGGGGGACGACGTCACAACTAAACCTTACCACTTCTCTCCTTGTAACACTAAATCTTACCACTTCTCTCCTTGTAGCACTAAACCTTACCACTTCTCTCCTTGTATCACTAAACCTTACCACTTCTCTCCTTGTATCACTAAACCTTACTACTTCTCTCCTTGTATCAATAAACCTTACTACTACTCTCCTTGTATCACTAAACCTTACCACTTCTCTCCTTGTATCACTAAACCATACCACTTCTCTCCTTGTATCACTAAACCATACCACTTCTCTCCTTGTGTCACTAAACCTTACTACTTCTCTCCTTGTGTCACTAAATCTACTACTTCTCTCCTTGTAGCACTAAACCATACCACTTCTCTCCTTGTATCACTAAACCATACCACTTCTCTCCTTGTATCACTAAACCTTACCACTTCTCTCCTTGTATCACTAAACCTTACCACTTCTCTCCTTGTCTTACTAAACATTACCACTTCTCTCCTTGTATCACTAAACCATACCACTTCTCTCCTTGTATCACTAAATCTTACCACTTCTCTCCTTGTAGCACTAAACCTTACCGCTTCTCTCCTTGCATCACTAAAACCCTATTAGGTTTCTTCCCGCAATTCTAACAATCTAAAAATATTTTCTTGCTTTAACTAACTTGCCATTCGCCGTAGAATAAGAATAAATCAATCGCTAACTTGATAAAATACTCCTCCACTTCCTGGCTTATGAGAGTTAGCGGACAATTTTCGACTATGTACTTTGATTGTAGAGTTCAATGGAAATTTGCTTAACCTTAACGCATATCGTTACCCACTGACAATAGGCTATGTCATATCTAATCCTGCACCTGCATTAAGTGACGTTTTAAATCCATGCGCTCTAGCGACTCTTTGATCTATCCGGGTTATGTGCCTGCATCGGGATTTTGATTGAATCGCATCAAATCTGCTACGAAAACATTTATATTCTTCGGTAGAATTTTGGTGAATATTCCTTTGCTTGAATACATTTTTCTTGGGTTGAGGAGGGTGAATAAGTCGAGCTTTTCACGGACGGACATGTTGCAGTAAATAGAAGGAGCTTTCAAAAAATCCAAACCTAAAAGTAAACACCAAAATCTTTGGAAAGAAAATATACGAACTCAACTAATAGAAGCTACACCAAACTATCTCGCCCATATAACTGAAACTAGTTATGGTCTCTGCCAGAAAGTTCTACTCAAGACACTTTCATATACTTACTTGTGTTTCAATTTTAAGTTTAGTAATTTTCACAAGAAAAGTCACAAATGTAATTCCTATTTTCTTCAGGCCAAATGCCTATTGGCAACTTAATTCTATCAACTCACTCAAATCGCATTTTTACGTTTTCAATTTAATGATTGTTAGACCAAACTTTTCCTTGTGGAAAGTAACTGAAGTCGAGATGCTCGGTCAGAAACGATTATATTACAGTCCCTTTTTGGGATTTTGACAAGAACCCCTAGATGTTTAGCAGGATACCAGACGAAAAGTTGTAGCATTGCTCAATGCACGACTAAATGATAGCTAGCTAAATGTGTAAGACAAAATCTGACGAAAGGAATTGTCTGACTCAACACAGAGAACCAACTTTCCTAGCAGTAGACCTAGCAATTGATTCATTATGATCCCTCCATTTCATGTCAATTGAAAACCTGAGTCCAAGAATGTGAAAAGAGCTCTTTCCTGGTCGTCAACGGCAGACATGCTGATGAAAAGTAGAAAGCGTTATACATGGAGATTAAATGATAATTTTGTTTTGGAGGCGTTAATGTTTACAGGCCATTTCATGCCCCAGTTAACAACTGATTGGAGGTCATTTTTGAGAGCAGCTGCCAGTTTTACAGTGGCGAGCCTATCAGATGTATTATTAAGCCATAAGTAACTACTAACATAATTACATAGTTGGAAAATGATGACATCGTAAACGCTGTTGATGACGATAACAAACAACGTAAGTCCGATTAAAGAGCCCTTGCTCAGTGAAAACGCAAAACAGAATTATTTGAATACTTGGCACAATTGGAGAGAACACATTCTATGTGACACTCACATTTTTTTAGTATAAACTGTAAAAACAGCAACAAAAAACTGATATAAATCCTTCTCAGATTTTCCTTGCCTATCATATTCAATGACGTTCTTTAAAAGGAAACAGAATTAAAAGAAAGCTTGCTGTACATATACCGAGTCGAACAAACGGATGACGATTACAACAGATCACAACGATTGGACCAGCGTATGAAGAGGGTTATGTGCCGCAGAGGAAGATAATGATATCAAGTGTTTGGGTCACTTCTTGGCACATTGAGGTCCACCTTAATCAAATTCACGCCATCGGCATTTACTTCTGTTCTGATTTTCTTTCACCTCCAATCAAATGTCGTTGGGAGAAAGTTTTGGTGAAAGTCGAAGCTTCTAGTCGTGAACCTAAACGTTGGCGGCGAGTTTAGTCATCAACGCTATCATTATAAAGAAAGCGATCAGAAGTTATTAAATTTTTGGATAAGGCCGGCGACGACGATAAATATATATATATATATATATATATATATATATATATATATATATATATTATAAAATATTTTACATCGCTACACAAAAATTTCTGTTTCAGAACCTAAAAATTGTTCCATCATCAGGTGATGTTGAGTAACTTGTGACGAAAAGGATCTAACTGAGAAATCAGAAAACTTTTCGGTAGCTTATTTGTGAGTTAAAAAGGTGGGGGGTACCAAGATTCCAAAATTGTGTGGTATGTCTTGGTTAACAAATCAAAAGACGGATTAAAGCTATAATAGAAAAATTAAAAAATAAGTTAGAAGTTATGTGTAGGTAGGTCATTGATTCATAAATAGATAAATTGCCACTTATAAGGCACCTCCGGACAGACGACATCCGATTAGGAATATAAATTTAAGATACAGTGAAGCAGACATAGAGATATATTTACCAAAAGGTTAATTTTAAAAAGTTGCAAGATTTAAAAAAAAAATTATATACTTGAGAACTATCTTATAGCAGAATCTAGTGTCATTAAATCATGTATATATGTATCATTCTGAATCCAAAATACAATACTCATTATATTGAATGGGCAGTTAAACATGACGATATTAAAGCTGAAAAGAAAAAAAAACAAAGAATTAAATAGATATTATATGGACCATTCTATATTAATAAAATAATGGATATATAATTGTAATGTATAGATTTTTTTATTAAAACTTCTATTAACTATATTTTAAAGTAGACATACAATGCCTACAAAATTACTCTTAATTCATTACTCTGAATGAGGACATCATTGTTTGAAGGAAACTTAATTACATGCAGCTTTGTAGGTAGACAAAGGGGATATGGTTCATTTAAGGACTTACAAATTCTCGTTATTTTAATATTTTTTCTTTTTACAGAAGGTGGGGATTATTGATTTCTTTTAAATGCCAAAAATATTTAGAGAGGGATGTTCGGTTACGGTACGTATTGTTGTTAAAAGGAGATATATGATGATAGCACCTTCGTTTAAAGATTTTTTGTGCTACGAATATAAAATTTCGACAACAGCCTGGTTTTCAGTAGATTAAATCATCTACTGAAAACCAGGCTGTTAAGAAATTTTATATACATTGATAATACAATTATTAGTAGATAAACAATTGATTCTGTAAGACATTTATTTTGCAATGGAAAATTTACATGATTTCTAAAATTATTCATAATAAATTATAAAGCGATTTTTAAAAAAGAAATTAAATTCTCGGATTCGAGATAAGGCTGGCGACGATATATATATATATATATATATATATATATATATATATATATACGTTGCATTCCCTTATCTCCCTTTCCGTCTATTCGATCTGTTGAGAGTATCCGATTCTCCAGGCCCTCCTTTCTCATTACGTGTCCCAGAAATTTCAGCTGCCTCTTCCTAATGTTAAGTATAAGCTTCCTTTTTGTTTGAATCCTCTCCAAAATCTCATCGTTGGTCACACGCTCGTCCATGATATCCTTATCATCCTTCTGTAGAACAATCCCTCCGTTGCCTTCATCTTTGAGGAGACCGTCCAACATTTGCTGCCGTAAAGAAGGACAGATGTCACGTAGCATGTCAGTACTCTTTTCTTTGTTACTAAAGAAATCCTTCTGTCTCATAATACTCTGCTTAGCTTTTGGAATACATCCGTCCTTGGCCATCCCAATACGTTTTCGGATCTCAGCATCGCACTTACCGTCCTCCGTCAAACACTTCCCAGATATTTAAACTTACGCACCTGCTTGACTCAGTATGAGTAAAAGATTGCCACTTAGCTGGTTAATGTTACCTTCAGCATGCCGTTTCCAGATTTTTATAGCTTACTGCTGTTATTTTGTTCTATTTTCTTCCTTTTATTTATATTCTCTGTGTTTGTGTGTGCGCCTGTACGCGTACCATTGTGGTGATGCGTCTGTACGGGTGTGCGTACGTACAGGAAGCCGTGATCATTGTTTTGGGGCCTGAAGAAAATAGGAATTGTATTTATAACTTTTCACGCGAAAATTACTCATCTTAAAATTGAAACACTCATAAGCATATGAAAGCCACGAAAGTAAAATTTGACTATAGAATAAAACAATTAGCAAAAGTCGAACAATTGATTAAATTAAAAAAAAAAGCATACGGACAACTTCACGATCAAACAAAGAGGCAGATTACTAAACCTCATAAAAAGCAATTTTGAAAAAATGAGCAAAAAAATATTAGAAAAATATGTTCAAAATTCTAAACCTACAATCAATTGGTTTAATAGCATTAGTAATAAAGAAAACTGTTCCTTTATACAATTCTAATCATCAATTAATGAACATAAACTAAACAACATATTAAAACTATCAAAACAATACATCAATATCCCCAATGAAGACATAAATATAATTAAACTCTACCGAAAATCAATATTTACTTTTTCATAGAAAATATGCGTCCTCCGACAGAAATCGAATATGTATCCTAATTGGAACCGACATATAGTCTGAGGGGCTATACTATTTAGCTACAGAAGAAGCGTATGGTTAAGAAGATCGATTTGACTGCTTTAAAACTACAAATTTCCCATGATTTCCCTGTGTGTGACCTCATATGTTTACATTAAGATACACTTCGAACAGATATGGACGTTCGAGTGAAATCATGGGAAATTTTAAATATGGGAAATATATGAAATATATATATATATATATAATTTAAAAAAAACAGACTCTTTTAAGGCTTCATTAGTTTAATTTTTTTCAAGAATTTTTTTTTTCTGGATCTTCAGACTTCACTTTTCAAACCTTTAAAGTGAAGTCTAAAGATCCAGATAAAAATAAAATTCTCCGGTGAAATAAATTATAACAAATGGAGCCTTAAAGTGGTCTGTTTTTCTTAAATTAAATTATTCGCTCTGAATTAACATTACGCTCTCAAGATTTCATTCTCCTTGGGATTATCCATACCAGTTACCAAGATTTTTTTTACCTTTTCTATATATATATATATATATATATATATATATATATATATATCATTGAAGGTAATTCTTGATAATTATTTTATTA